CGGGTGCGGCCCCCGCCCAGCCAATGGCAGGCGGGCTGGGGGCTTGGTTGCAGCGGACGGGGCCGTGCGGCATTGTGCGTTACCGGAGTGACATGGGAGGCCGCGCGTCGCTCGCTGCTGCTGCTAACAAAGAACTCACCTCCGCTCCCGCGTGCCCTTGGGGGGGCTTGTTTCCATGGGGGGGGAGGGCAGCGTTGAAGCTGCAGCAGGATTTCCCCCTTTCGTGCTTTTTAAATACAATTCCCGCTGGCATTTTGTCAAAGCCCAAGGTGCGGGGCTTGCGGGGAGAGGCGAAAAGCCCGGCGCGTCGCTCGCTGCTGCTGCTAACAAAGAACTCACCTCCGCTCCCGCGTGCCCTTGGGGGGGCTTGTTTCCATGGGGGGGGAGGGCAGCGTTGAAGCTGCAGCAGGATTTCCCCCTTTCGTGCTTTTTAAATACAATTCCCGCTGGCATTTTGTCAAAGCCCAAGGTGCGGGGCTTGCGGGGAGAGGCGAAAAGCCCGCGGCACCGTGTCCTTCTCAGCCCAGAGCTTTCGTAACAGCCTCTCGCCCGTGTTTTCGTAACGGGAGCCCCAAGCGCCTCTCGCTGACAGCTGGAATGCAGCCACCTCTGGGGTGGAGTGGCCTGCTGTTCTGCTCCAGTGGTGAGGTTATGTAACAGGCTCCAGTGGGAAGAAGCATGTTGAAGGGAGTAAGAAGGGGGTTGTGGTTAATGTTCACTCATGTTTTCCATCCATGGGTGAAATTAATTTTATGTGCACAGAGGCAATGCAGATGGCACCCCCACTAGAAATACATGCTGCTAGGTGTGATGCTCTACTAAATAACTGGGAGACACTTGAGTATCTCCTAACCCATGCACTCATTTTACAGGGAACACTGGTTCATAGGTACTGGAACTAGGCTTGTCAGAGTGCTGCAGCATCCCCTGGCTTAAAGGGTTTTCATTATGTACAGGGTTTCCCATTCCATACATCTATCACTACCCCTCCTATACAAATTGTTCCAGCACTCCTGCACTGATTGTGGTTACATGCATTAGATTGCTGTTCAGGAGATTAGGATGAAATTCTTGGCTTTGACAGAGTGCTGTCATCTTGTACAAATCACTTAATCTTTGGGCCTCAGTTCTCCACTGGTGAAACTGGAATAATAATGCTTTCTTTCTCCTGCTCTTTCTTTGTGTTGCTTATTAAAACTGCCATCTCTTAAGAGCAGGGACTATTAGCGTCAAACAAGAATAGTCATTTAGAAACTAACCCATGAGGCTGATAATGCTTTGAAATGAGCCTCAAGTTTGATAAAACATTGGCCACAGATTATGATCTAGGGTATTGGAGGCGACCTTAGTGAGACTGCACTATCATGGAAAACTACTGACACCACTGTGGAAAAAAATGGAATG